CAGTTTCTCTTAAAATGGTATGTTCTATTCATTTCAAATTATTGTTGCAGATTTATTATTAATTTAAAGTATACATTTTAATAGCATATTTATATACAGCACTTATACATAAATAAGAACCATATGAAGAAAATATGAATATTAACAACCTTTAAAATCCTTTCAAAATAAAAATGAAAGAAAAAGGAAAACATTTATATAGGGGTTGAGTTCAACAGATGTTTTAAGATTTCTTATTACCAACTAGGTTGGCTTCCTAACAGAAATGAATACATGCCAGGTTCCAAGCATATCCACGATTACACCAAAACATAAAAGTGTAGTACTTCTTCCCCTAAAGCTACCTTCATGCCACCTGTCTCTTTGGCCCTCGTTGGTTCTCTACTTTCTTATGTAATTTCACTGGAGACTTCAAAGCCAACTTAGATACTCTACATTCTACTGAAAAGACCTCCCGCCTTTGAAGTTGTTTTATAAACACAGATATAGTCACTACTGAAGCTTGAAGTATCTATCATGGCTTGCAAATGAATTGGGAAAGAAATGTCTTTTGTGAGATGGAAAGACCAAGAGAAGAATGTAGGGCTGGTTTTTTCTCCAATTACTTTGGATTCTGTAGAACGTCCATTTTCTAGTTTTTTGATATATTCGATACAAATTGCTAAGAAAAAATATCTGCCTTTGTTGACTGCATACTGAATGAGGCACCATTTTCCCTTAAATTTACTGAAACAGGCTGATGTCTAAGATAAACTAGTACTAGAGGTAACATATTGAAACAAAATTAAGTTCATAATATGGTTTTCAGTAAATTCATATGCCACCCAGTAACAACACTATCAATACAGTAATGACAACCATGAATAGAGCTCAAAAGCAATGGAACTCAATTTGCATACTTTTTCATCTTCTATAATTTGATGTAATTGTTTTTCAATTTAATATCACTGGCAACGTGATAGATTTTCCAAGATAATGAACTTTTTAATTTTGTTTGTGAGGATATTTCTGAACGTGGTTTTTACTTAATTGTAGACCGAACAAGGATGCCACTCAATCATGCTGAGAGGATAACTGCAGCAACACATGTTTGCTGGTAATTTTTGTTTTGTTTGAAGCTTTTACCTCACAGTGCTCTTTTTTTTTTTTTTCCCTGGTTGACTGTTAAGAAGCCCAAACCATTAGTTTTGGGGTTTCTATTGGTCTGATATTTACCTGCTTCCCATGTCGAATAATCAGTGGTTACTAATCACTATTCTTTTTTTCCTTTATGATCTTTTGCTCTAGCAGATGTACCATGTTGAAAAATTTTTGTATACGTGTCAGATGGCCATTGAATCACTTTATATTAGGAGGCTGTCATTTTATTACTCATCCTATCCTCTTAACTGAATTCTGTCATTGTATATAAGGGGATTTTATCCTATTCTCTCCATCGTCAAGTGTACCAAATGAACCCTTTATGTTTCCTGTAAAAGCTCAACATTTCTGTAATTCTTGTCATATATATATATATATATATATATATATATAATTTTAGGTAGACTATCTTGTGGTTTTATGCTTGCTTGGTTTTTCCTTAGCTGTTGCTGTCTTTGTTGCTGTTAAAATGGTGACATGTTTAACTTTTAGTTCTGTTTTAAATGCAGCACTTGTCATGAAAAGCTGGTCTCGTTTCTTCTGTATTGGTTCCGGGTTTCAATGCCCAAATATGTAAGCTTTTCCAAATTTCATAGTTATGCATAATATGAACAAGTTGTTAATTAGACATGATTTTGAATTTTGATTGGTTATTTTAGTTCTTTAAATCTAAATGGTATTGGTTTCCGTTTTAACTTGTGCTGCTCATTTGAGATTATAGCTTCTACCCTCTGATGCATCACAAAGGGAGGATTGCTGGTATGGATATGCTTGTCGAACACAACACCATAATGAAGAACACGCACGCAAAAGGAACCATGTATGTCGTCCGACGAGGGGTGCTAATATGTAGGCATGATTTCATGTACATAAAAGCAATGAACAGTACCCTGGAAAGACTATAAATGTAATGGTACATTAATGATCTCTGTTTTGCTCCAAAAACATTCTTCTGCCGATATTCATCGATATTTTCTATGCTTTAATGTGAAATGTTTTGATTGCAAAATTTCAACGGTTTTTAGAGAGCTTCTTCTTGGTGTTTTAGGAATTTCGCTAAGTGAAACTGTTGGATTTTGATTCTAAGCATCAGATTGGTGGTTGGGATGCCTTTATCCATTTGTTTTGATTTACTTTATCCTATTTTGTCTTGGTGAGCTGAGGTGCAAGGCTGCAGATATTTTACACCTAAACTAGCACAAGGCAATCAATGAAATACATCTGGCAAACAAGACTGATTTGTGGGGTTTCTTGATAGCTAGTTAGGAATCCAAGTGGGGACGTGTCAGTCATTGGGAATTCTGCTCTTAATTTAGTAGTTGGTGTGACATGCTAATCTTAAGTGGCGCGGGACTTCTAAATATACCAAAATTTTTTTACACAGTAACTATATAGAAAATATCGATTTTAATTTTTAGTAAACGACAAAAACAATTCAATAGTTTTTACATTCAATCTTTTTTTTTTTTTTTTTGAATTCAATGATGGAGAGAATTATGTTACATTTTCAAAAATGGATTTTTCGAACATGCAATTGCATTTTTCGAAATAGATTTTTGAGAATACAATATAATTGTCAAAAATTTTATTTTCAAGAGTGAAATAAAATTTTCAAAAATTTATTTTCAAAATTTTATTATATTTTTAAAAATTTATTTTCGAGATTTACATTATATTTTTGAATATTTATTTTTGAAAATACATAAATTTTTGTTTAAATATATATATTTAGTTATAAACTATTAATAACATTTAATTTACATTTAAATAAAATAAATATACTTAATCTTAAAATAAATAATACAAATGTGAGAACATTGGAGATAAATTCTAAAGCAAGCATGGGTGGGAAGGGTCGAATCAAATGTGCTCATACTTGATCATTTATGCAAATGAAAAAGACATGTTAGTTCTCAAATATGCATAGACATAAAGGTGTTCTTGTCTTGAAATCAGAAAATCAAGAACACTCTTTTACCCATGCAAAACTAGAAAATCAGAAAAATGTGTTCTTGGTTTTCTGGAGTCTCAAGAAAAAAAAATAGGTTTGTGCCTTGCATGTTTGAGAATATCCATTTCAGTTATATTTGCATACATGATCAAATAAATGGGTCTATAAGCGCAAATATTTTTAATTAAGTCATTCTTGAACAACTTATGGGACATGGATTTGCATGAGTAAGGTTTTCAGTGATTAAAGGTAAGAAATTCACTTTTGAAAATTTTTAAAGATTTCTGGAGATAGATATCTAAGAAACTTTAAGGGCTTTTGAAAATGGACATCCAAAAAGTTTTAAGGCTTTTTGAAAATCTTTTTTCAAGAAACTTTAATGATTCTTGAAAATGGATAAGCAAGAAGTTTTTAGACTTCTCGAAAATATATATCCGAGAATCATTGAAGCTCTTGGAAATGGATTTCTAAAAAGTCTTAAAGTTTCTCGAATATCTATTTTCAAGAAGCTCGATTTCACTTAAATCTTATCGCAAACCTTAACCTATATTCACATGATTTCAACCATAATTCAAGCAAAATCAATCGAAAATAATTTACCTTTAATTAGTGGAAAACTTAAAAACACAAGTGATTTGGGGTTAATTTGATGGATTTAGGGTTTTTCTTTTTGGATTAAAAAGTGAAGAGAGAAATGGTAGAAATGGAAAATAGAAAGTGGGGACCGTGGGTGTAATTAGTAAAAATAAAAAATTGAGTTTTTAATTTGGGGTGTATTTATAAGTGGGTTGTATAGAGTAATAAATAGAGTATAAATAGAATTCCCCAAGTGGCGCATGCATGCTTAGACAGGTAGTATATTATCTATAATTATTGTATTACAATTAATCATAATTTAAAATGGTGTAAGATTCATTAAAATTTATATAGAATCTATAATTATAAGCGATGAATTTTACATAATTATTTATTGTGATTGCATAATTTTTTTTTTGTCTGGGACCTCTTGGTGTTCAATAGCCACTTTGGGTCTCGACTAATTCAGAGTCAAATCAAGTCAGACCCCATAAAAGGGAAAGCTTTCCTAAGCCTATTTTTTTCATTCACAAGACTTGAAACCGAGACTTTACTTAAGGGGAATCGAGCTGCTTGCCACTATGACCAACAGGTGTTGGTGTAATTGCATAATTATCTCTTATACAAGGTAGCTACCACAACTATCTTAGCATTCAACTGGACAAATGATAAAATACCATTTGGCAAAGAAGCAATATGGTCATTTGAGAGGGAATAACTAACAATAGAACTACCTAATATTTAGCACAAAGATAAGGAGTTGGAGATCAGCTGTTGATCCCGTAGAACAACTTTTTGAGACTTACATAGTAAGTTTAAAATTATGGATCTTACTATAATGTAATGGAATAATTACCATTAAATTTACAACAATTAATATTAACTATTGATTATGCTTCTATTAAAAAAAATAACCATACATATATGTAAACTTTTTAACTTAGATTTAATTATTTAACTCTCACATCATAACTATAAAAATTAATTATTATTAATAGATAATTCTAACATTTAAAAAATCTTTTCAAGGAAAAAAAAAAGAAGATAAAAGAAATAATATTTTTAAAATATTAAATAAAATTATCAACATAAGTAGGTAAGTTATTATTTGCTCCCGTATAATGCTGCGTAAGTTATATTCATACAAATAATTATTTCAACCTTACTCGAATATGAGATGATGCCTAATTTGAGTATATCATTCTTATTGTTTCGTAATCATTATTGTCTGGTTATTGTGATTGAAACCAATTCCTTTACACCATATTTATTTAATTTCGCTCAATCAACGATGATGCCTAACCCCGATATTAAAAATTTATAAAGAGGTATTATATGTTATTATATTATCTTCTGTTTCTTCATAATTACTTTTATTTTTGTATTAAGTAATTTTTTTCTTTTCAATTTAGGATAATGTCTGCAGTTGATAAGAAAGCAAAGATAAATTGGGTGTCATTATCGGTAAATGTAAAATTTATTCTTTTATGCTAAGTTTGTTTAGATATATGTTTCCTAAACCCACTAAATTTATTTTTCAGATACCTCATCAATCAGGATATACCGAATGTGGCTATTATGTCCTTCGTTTTATAAGAGAGATAGTATCATATGATTTTATGGCCACACCATTCAAGGTTAGTATTAATTTCATAAAATCATTATATCTTCCAAAAAAAGCTAAATTATGTTATCATTTATTAACATTTACTTCTGATTTTTTTTAGTGGGAGAGTAAAGGAAACTTTACGATAGACAAACTTGATGAAGTTTGTAAAGAGTGATGTGAGTATGTATTATCATTTGTTAAACCTTGAGGTTGGAGATTGTTGGTTGGGTGTAAATATATGCATTTCATTTGTTCTAATGTTTTTAACATGCCATGTTGAATGGATAATTTAAGTTTCTAGATTGGGGGTATTGGTTTAATATTATTGGCTTATATTTGTTTTATATCAATTGTCAGCTTATATGAATACACATATATTTAGTGCGATTATTTGAAAAAAGTATATTTATATAGCAACGTTATCAATTTTAAATTCGGATGTGTGGTCAATTTATTAAAAAACTACAATGTTTGTAATGTAAATTTCAAAATGTAATTCGTAGTATCACATATATAAACCAAATATTTTTTGGGCATAAATGTACAACTGACTTCTCCTCCCATTGTTTTGGGGGGATTATTCAAGTCGCTTTTATCCAAAACACACCTTGAATAATCCTTTACACAAAATTGAATGAAGATATTCAAGGCATTTCTAGCAAAAAATGCCTTCAATAATTCTTTCCCATTGTTTGGGAGGATTATTAAAGGCATTTTTGGCTAAAAACGTCATGAATAATCTCTTATAAAAAATTGAATGGGGTTATTGAAGGTATTTTCTAGCAAAAAATACCTTCAATAATCCCTTCCCATTGTTTCAGGGGATTATTGAAGGTATTTTTTACTGGAAATACCTTGAATAATCCCTTGAAAAGCCAAAAAAATGTTAAAGGGAGGGATTGAACCTATAACCTTATGGTTAACTACCGTATACTTTAACCAACTGAGTTACTCTAATTTTTAGAATTGAACGGTATTATTTAAGAGATGATTATTGAATGGTATTATTTTAGGCTAAATACCCCTTCAATAATCTCTTTAAATTTTGATGAGGAGATTATTGAAGGCATCTTTGGCAGAAAACACCTTTAATAATCACTTTTATTTTTTTATGAGAGGATTATTCAAGGCGTTGTCTACAAAAAATGCTTTCAATAATCCCCTATCCATTTTTTATGAGGAGATTATTCAAGGCATTTTCTGTAAAAAACACTTTCAATAATCACTTCAATTTTTTAAAGATGATTATTTAAGGTGTTTTAGTCGATAAACGTCGTTAATTTCTGTATTTAGTAGCATTTATAAGTATAAATGCCATTATTTGAATATTTAGTGGCATTTTGATAAAAAAATATTTTAATTTTTATAAAAACACGAAAGCTAGTGGCATTTTTAAGTTAAATGCCACTACAAAATTGCCACTAGTATTTCATTTTCTTATAGTGGGTAAAAGAGATAATATTTTAAAATAAAAAATTAATTAAAATTATTAATGAAAACATGTGAGAAAAATTGTAAAATTTATGTCATTTAAAGTAAAATGGTTAAAAGTGTTGTTACACCTTAAAAAAGAATACAAATAATTTTAAACGTAATATAACTTATGAAGAAACCTAAAAAGATATTATTGTTATATAAATAATTAAGTTGATAAAGTATATGAATAGATATTTTAAAATAAAAAATGTAAAAATATTATTTTAATGTAAAAGGGTGAGAATAATGGTAAAATTTGTACTATTTGACGAAAAATGGATTAGCGGTGTCGTAATACTATAAGAAAGAGTATGGATAATTATAAATATATTGGAAGATAAGAATAAGTATAAAAATATATTATTGCAACGTAAATGACTAAGTTAACATAAAAGAATTGATATTTTACAACAAAAAAATTAATCACAAAATTGTAAATGTAAAAATGTGAGAAAAATTATAACATTTGTAGTATTTTGTGTAAAATGAGTTGGAAAAGTCGTAACACTCTAAAAAAGAGTAAAAATAATTTTAAATGTAATGGAAGGTAAAAATAAATGAAAAAGATATTATTGTAACGTAAAAAAAATTGATATTTGAAAATAAAACAATTGATCAAAGAAAAAAATTGTTAACGTAAATAAATGTATTAAAAGTGTTGTAACATCCCAAAAAGAGTAAAGATATTTCTAAGCATAATAGAAGATAAGAACAAATGTAAAAATATTAGGGTAAATTACATAAATATATCTTGTGGTTTGAGGGGGATTAAAAATACCTTCTAAGATTTAAAAAATTAAA